CTCTGTCGCTTTAATGAACTCAATCAATATTAAATCCATGCACAAATTTAAATAAAAATAACAGAAGTTTAAAAAAAGACGAATAGTTATTTCTTTGTTTGAACAGACAAGAAACCTTAATCAATATCAACATGTAAATTTCTTAAAAGATAAAGGATTGCATTTTTAATTCAACTGAAATCATGTATTGACTTATCGTGATATTTGATGATTACTATTAACTTCATTGATAAACTATGTTGCCAAGTTTATCTACCACAATTTTAGATTCAATTATCAAAAAAGGTTTCATTGAAAATCTATATGACTGTGTTGACTATAAAATAATGATACATGATGTCAATAAATCTAAAGAAGTAGTTAATATGAAACAGCTTGGTGAACTTTAGAATTCAATTGACGATAGTACGGTTTTTGATAACGCGTCAAGGTCATTTCCAAACAATAAGTTTTTTTCTCATTGATTGAGACAATGTTATGACAAAAAACTATTGTCGAGACGTCCGATATTTGAATATACATCTATGTCTAATATCGCTGAATCTCATTCGTTGTTCTAAATAAAGAATAGTTTTTGAGAAAGAGAGATAAAAAATGATATAAATGACAGAAATAAATATGAATTGTAGGTTTCTGTCTCCGATTTTGACGCTATACATCAGCATGTGGTAAATGACATTTCTATATACAATGATTTGTAGAACAAAAATATCGTTTCTCAGACGGATGAGCATAATTGTAGAAAATGCCATTGGAAATAGATATACATCCGAAGAAGCAAAACAACTTGTGTATCAATACTAAATACCATTATATAGATATATAAAATCCAAAGATGTCTATGTTCGTATACGTTTTGATTTTTTTTCCTTATATATTATCTTATTATTAGATTATAGATTTATTATTGGTTAAATAGATAAGTTTGGTTTTTTTCTCTTACTACTTTTAAAGTATCAATTATAGACAATATTAACATCCTCTTTACTGTCATCGTAATAGTAGTTAAGCGCTAACATATTGTATTTATATATATTCCCATCAACAAGAACCTATTTATTGTTATTTAGTATGATATATCGAATAGTCAAAATAGTAGATCACTATATGATATTGTTATATTTATATATAGTCTATAAAGAGTGCTCATTAGGTGTTCGATTTAGATAAAATGTTAACATAATATGATCAGTGATTTATTAAAGATTATCAGTTCTAATAATAGCATTGAATATACGAAGGAAAAAAAATTATCAGTATCATCTGATAATTATTTTGATATATATCAGAAGTTTTATGAATTAAGAAATGTCTATCAAAAATTAATATCAATTTTAGATAAGAACTCGTTGAATTCTTAAGGTTTATAGTTATATAGATAAATAGGGTAACCTTCGGTTTCTTTTTGGAGCATTTCCTTCTTTTATTTGATGATGATGATGATATCATAAAGGTGAATAAGTGTACAGCAGCTAAATGTTTTTTTTTGTTCGAGCATCTTTATATTTAATCACAAATAATTACTCTTTCTTATCTCTCATTTGTCGTTTTTCTTGAGGCATAACACCATCCCTGATTCAATTCATGTGTCGTGTTTACATGAAGGGCGACCGTGCATCTAACTCTATCTGTAAAGGAACAATTGTCGTCATCGATAAGTCAATGCCATAAGCAAGAAAAGAATATCGTGTCTATACATACATATAGCTATAAACGTTATCCTCATCGTCAAGGGAATCTTTTTGTGTGTGTGTGTGTATGTGGCAATAGATGGATAATAGATCAGTGCCATCAACGTCGATAATCAAGTAAGAAAAGAACGGAAAGATGAAGAAAAGAAAAGAAGAACAAGACATTGCTATCTGAAGGTGATAGCAAAAGCATAACATAGTCGAGAATTGCGCATGAGACGAATGTTGTTTTTTCATCAATCCAATCGAGTTTTCAACGCCTTGTCATATTCCCCATAATAACAATAGAATAACACAAGAAATTATTCATGCTTAAAATCTATCTCAATTTATCTTAAAGATTTTTGTTTGAAATAATGACGAGTATTCGTAATGCTCCTGTTGATATAGCATCTGCACGAATTTTACATTATCTACGAACACATAATTATGATGATTGTGCTATTTATATTAATCGTCTTAATCCAAGTACATTCCGTAAAATTTTAACAAATGATATTTCAATTGATATATTACTCGCTCAGTTACCATTTTCAATTGAAGTATTTGAAGTAATCTATTCAAAAATCTTTATTCATGATCCAGATATATTTCCTCTTCGCATCTTGAAACCTGATCAAATTATTTCAAAAATGATAAGTATTTTTGCATCAGCATTTATTGAAAAATCATCAAATACAATTTCATCATCAACATTAACAATAAAAAATAAAGAAATTATTATTGATGATGAACGTTTATTAAGTAATTTATCAAGTATACTTCGAATTATATCCTATGTTCAACCAGTTTTATTTAAACGTCTTTTACGTCAAAAAGAAACAATTGATGAATGTATACTTTATTTTGAACAACATCCATCATCTTCTCCTCATCATCATCATACAACTAGTGTAACATCTTTACAAAAATCATCATCAACATCATCATTATTACCAAAAAATCTTGAAGATACAGTTCGTCATGAATTAGAATCAACAATTGTTTGTTGTCAACAAGCATTACATAGACTTGAAACAAAACCAATAACATCACGTACAACAATATCAGCACATTCAACGCCAGTTACAACAAGAAGACAATCAATTGTATCAGCAATACAATCATTTAATTCATTTGAAGATATACAAAATCGTTTATTTCAACATAAAGCTATTTTAAATATAGTCGAACCATATTTATCTCGTACTAAACTTTATACAGTTATTGATAATCTTGGATATAAAGTTTCAATTGATAAAAAAATTTTACTTGCTTATTCACATATAAAAACACATGAAAAACAAATTGCTTTTGGTGAAACACTTTTACCATTATTTAAACGATTTGCTTTTGCCTATGAACGTATGTATAATATGAAAAATAAATATATATATTTTTTATAAGTTTATTAAATAGGTATTATTCAGTTGTGGAGACGAGTTACTGACAGTACATTAATCGATGAATGTAATGATGATATTGTGATTGATACTACAACTGTCACGGATGTTAGTGGAACTGGTTTCGAACGAGCACGTTCGCGTAAGTATTATAATCCTATAAGATTTCTTATAAGAAAAACAACAACTGTTAGAAAAAGAGAATAGATGTACGTATGATATAAATCAAAATGATCATTGTTGTTATCGATTGATTTCTCATTTTTATTTATTTATCCTTCTAATCAATACAGGATGATAATGGTACACAAAAGAAAAAAAAAATATTGAGGTTTCTTTTGGCGCCTATATATGATTGAGTGTTATGCTAAATCCACACACAATCACTCGTTCTTTTTCTTCATATATAACATATTTATCGAACAGCAGTAGTCTATCAAACAAGAAAACGATTTTTCTCCCTTTGGGTCTTTCTAACAAACGAGTCAAATGAACAGACAAACCAGTGAGTACTGTGGCAATTATCTAAATGACAAATAGGAAAGAGTTCGTAACTAAATATACTTCATAGAAAGAGAAGTCGTTATGTCATACATTTACAAAAAGAAAAAACCGAATTCACCTGCTCTTTTTTTTTCTCTTTTTTCTTTACAAAATATCAGATGGTAAAAATTATGTATGATTAATTTCTATATTTGATCGAGAAATTACGTAGTATTTCTGAACTGTTATTTATATATGGAATACACTAACGATTGATAGACAGATGAGAAGAAATGGGATGATCAACTAAATAAGCGTATGCAATAGCAAATAAAGAAGCGAAGAGAGAAAGAAAATGTAGCAAGATACATGCACCTTTATATATTGTAGACATTTGCTTTTTCTTCTCTTTTCACTCATCATCTTTCTTTTTCTCTCACATACATACACTCACATACTCATCATATTCCAGATCAACATCACGATTTAAAAGACAAAACGATCTTGTTTTTTTGTTATTGATCTTTGATCAGATCTCGTTTTTTTCCGTCTCCGTCTAAGCTCTTCAAATGACAACAGTGACACTTAGATCGAAAAAAACCATTGCACACAGCAGTCAAAATCTAAACAACAAACATGTTCGTTATTCTGTTTTAGAAGAACCAAGTTCATGTCGAAATCGTTATGGTAAGTACAGATTTAATATTTGATAATACAATACACTTCCTTATCAATATTTGTAAAAAGATTGATACGATAAGACGTAATCAGAAGAAGAAGAAGAAGAAAAATAGGATAGAGCTAGTTAATTTCATAACATGATGATGACACGTTTATTCATTGCTTGAAGATTATTGATGTAGTTGCATTCTTTTTCTTTTACGTTGTTGATATATTTCATGCTAGGCATTGCTCAGTGCCGTATTGCTCGTTTTGTTCATCTTGATCACGTTATCATACTAATAGTGGGAGGAAAACCACTTATGATAGAATAATCGATTCATGATGATGAGAAATATCATCATCATCATCATCAATGCATTCGTTCTATCTTACTACATATTTTTTTTTTGTTGTGATCATAACCATGATTATGAGTGTAGATATCAAATTTCTTCAACTAGTCTTTTATAATACCATGTTCATTGTTACTAAGTGTATATTCAATATAAAAAGATTAGTTATGTATTCGAATATTTTATTATCGTTCTATCGTATAAAATGAGTCAAAGCACGAACAACGAAGAACAACTGACATTATATTTTACTTTGTTGTCATCATCTCTACCACCTTCATCTGCTATGACGAATAGATCATTTAGATTTTCATCACCTAAGATTTCGCATAATGGTAAGTGTTCCATGCACATATGATTTAATATTTCTCATGAAATATTGAGTTAATAGTAAAAAATATCTGCTTTATTTTCAGAAATCGAACGTCTTTTCTACAAAGATGATATGGCTGTTAAAAATGGACGATCAAGTAAGTGGATATGGATGTTGTTTTTGTTTTTGAAAGTTTCAGCATGTATTCCTATCGTATATAATTATCCTGTACTGACATGACTCAAAGTACAAAGGGTATAATTATATATTAAGTTTAAATTCATTTAAAGTATAATTGTAAAATCAAGGATTGATTGTGTATATTTTTAACGTATTGATGCAGTAAACAGCGTGAAATTAGACGAAATAGAGTTTTATGCATCGACAAATATGTAATGCGATTCTTAGTGGTCTATGCTTACATACTATCCATTAATTCTGATACCGAATTTTAGAGAAAGACATACCGTTTTTCATTTTTTAAATGAGAACTATAAATTGTCTAACGAATTCCTGGGCAAAACTAAGTATGAAGCGTTCCTTTGAAAGTATTGAGATCGCGGTTAAACCCTGGATTTCGATACCGGAATCTTAGTTTTGAACCTGAACTGTACTATTAATACTTTCATTCAAGCTATTTATAACCATGAGTACGACATTTTACATATTTCTCAAGCAATCGTGACGATGATATTGTAATCATCAGGTTATATCTGTAATTAAAGATTTAACCTATATAAATAATTGAAATTCCTCGAGAAAAAAATAACAATTTTCGTTATGTCAGAAATTGATTGATGTTTAACTGTAATCTAAATATGTGAAAATAATTTTGCTTGATCTTGTATTTGTCTTATACCAACAAACTAAATACTGATAAAAAAATATGCAATATATCTTATTGACATTGACATGCAGACACTGTTGACGACGAAGATGTATGTATATAGGAAATACATAAGAATCTATCTCCTTGACGAAAAAAGGTCATTATTAGATTTGTATAACATCTGTATATACATAAAAATAGTTCAATATTATTTCTTTTTTTTCTGAGAAATAACTTATGGATATTTAATATCATTCGTGTTGTTTTCTTTTTGTCTGTTATCTTCTAAATGATATAATTTCTTGGTATTACACTCATACTGACCATAGATAAAAGAACAAATATATTCTCCGCCTGATTACTCAAATAACAGTTCATGAAGAAGAGAATATCAGCGGGACATTGATTTCCTTTGCTGCCTGATTGAGTCGACAGTTATTTCTAGGCACAGTCGGGAATGTTTACCTCATAACATCATATATAATGACAATAACGGCTTGAAAAACTGATTGAAGCATAAAATAGTGCTGTCATTTGTTTTTGCTAAAAATCTCGTATAAACAATGAATACATATAAAGCCAAAAAACCTAATATGTCAAGCAAGCAAAAGAGTAGAAAGATCAGGGTTAAGACGATTTGTTACTAATAAAGGTTTTATATGCTTTTAAATATGCGTATTTTTCTCAATGATGAAATAATAATTGAATGTGTACGTCGTCGTTTTTTTTCTTCTTCTGGAGACAAATAAGTTTGATTATAATTATTATTTATCCATTAATGTAATATCATGATTGTATGTCAAGCGATAGAAAAGAAGAAAAAGTAGCCCGTCACACAGATAGAAAAAAATGGAACAGAAGAAGAAAAAAAAAATCTCAGAGAAAGAGAGAAATAGTAAGATATTACTCTTCTGTAGACATGCACGTACTCGATCCTTACTCTTTAGATATCTAACAACGTTACGTGTGTTTATCGAACTTCATTACATTTTTTTTCTCATATTCGTTCATATATACGATATTCAATATCATTCGCTCTATATTCAATCTGCGGGTTTTTTTTCTTCATAATATCGAAATCAAGATATTCGATATCAAACAAAGAAAACATCTCATACACGAAAAAAAGAGAATGTCAAATGCTGTTAAATTACAATTTATTTATGATCCACAACAACCACCACCACATATCATCGATACTGAAATTCAGAAATCTCAGCCACCAGCAAACAAACTCGTTAACAGATACATCTCAACAGCTGCACAATATCTCAATAGAACAAAAAGTTTTCATGTTACGCCAACAAATAATAACCATAACAATATTCATTTTCAAACAAATCGTAAGAATATATCATCGAATAATCTAATACAATCATCATCAACTGACATGTCGAATACAAATTGTTTAACAACTGAAAAAATTTCAATACCTACAAATGAAACATATACATGTAGTCTACCTTTGAATGATCATAATAATAATGATTCAATCAATGCCAATAAACCACAAGGTCTTGTCAATACATTACGTCGATCGTTGAAAAAAAATAGAGAACGTTTTTATAATAAACAATCAACAGCAATGAAATCATGTCAAACATTGAATACTTGTGAACAAACAACGAATGATTTTCAAAATATGTATAAAAAAATTTCCAAAACACCAACGCTACATGGTCGACGTCAAACTTTAGCAAATCATATTCCTATAAGTTCCATAACGAATACAATAAATGAAGATCAACTTCGTAAGAGAAAAAGAAATGATTTTAATACCCTTCGTTAAGTTTTCTGTTAGTCCTGAAAAGAAAAGGTATTTTAATTCATCCAATTTGTTGAATAGAAGCCTTTTGCAAACGTTTTAATAACGGTTAAATAGTTTAGAAAGAATATTGAATTCTCCTGTTAGTCAGCATGTCGTCTACATAAGGGCAAAAAAAGCGCATAATACTTGTTTTTCATGCGATTTATTTTCTTGCAAAATAACTTGATTATGCTATTTAGAATATATGTATAATGTCAATTTGATTTATTTTTCAATCGCTCCCCTTTTTTGTTAATCATTTGCGTTCTTTCTTTTTTTTAATATATTAGTGATATTAAAAATAAGACACGTATGTCAGTCATGATCAGTGTGTTACATCAGACATATGTGCAAATCAAAACAATGGATACCACTTGATTCTTTGTATCCTCTGATAAATGTCTTTTAAACGAAAGGTCGAATCTATGGACAGCTGCAGAATGCCAATCCGTTCTTCTTTTCTGTATCAGTTAGAATTATTGCCTTCCAGTTGAAAATAGTAGAAGAAAGAAGAACTAGATTATCCGATAAATAGCTCTTTTTGATTGACAATCAACACATTCATTGAATGTAAAAAGCATATTTTAACGTATGTACACGTAGAAACACTGATAACGAGTATAGTGTTGTTACAAGCTCGATTTCTTCGCTATTTGACGTCACTAACAACAAGCATTAGGTTTGAGTAACTTTTTTTTCTCGTTCTACTATAAAGAAGAAGAAGAAGGAAAAAAAACGAATTGATCCTTATGTGTACATCTGTTTTGTTTTTGCTTCGGGTAGTCATATAGAATCAAAAGAGAAGCAACAGTCATGTCTACTGCTTTATCGTGCATGTATTGCGATAAAAAAAAATGTATGTTTTCTATTTTGTATCAGTATAGATTTTCATTGTATATTTATTTATATTTAGATCCTTTACAACCGTTAGCAAACAAAAATCGTTTATTAGCTAATGGACATTTTGTTCATCATCAACTTACACCAGTTTTACCACCGGCTGCATCGCTTCAATCACTTTCACCTTTAACAACAACAGGAAGTGTAACATTTACAACTCCAACATCAAATATTGAACAACAATCAATACAGTCTGATAATGAAGAAAAAGAAAAAGAAAAATTAAAAAATGATTTACAACAATTAAAAAGTGAATTACAAAAATCCAAAGAAACTATAGCACGTTTACAAAAAAGTGAAGAACAAATGCGTGAACGGTAAAGTTCATTGAATTTATTTTATATTCTTATCAGTTTGATATTTATAACACTAAAATGATATGGAATGTCACGTTTTATACAAATATTCATAAACAATCAAATTTAGTATAAATCATAATAGATAGGAATGTTCGATTTTAGTGTACGAAAATTCTATATTTATAGTATTTGCAAATCGTCATTGATAAGAAAGACGCCATATGCTATCTGTTAAGTTAGCCGCTATTTAAGGAACAGTAATGTATATTATCCACAAATGAGTGTCTGTTTTTGACAAAACATACATTTATCAAGGATAAATATTATTAATCGATATTTTTGTCTATATATAGATTAGCCGAACAAGCACAACGTCAATTAGAAAAAGGTGGTAAATTTGAAGATTTAAATCAAATATCACGTCCAACAGAATTAATACGTTCATATAATAGTCTTTATTCACAAGCACGAATTGATGCACTTGATGCGTTAGATAGTATTCGTGAAATGATTGAATCAGAAGATTTAAAATCAAAATTATTATTTTCAGTTGTTGTTGTACGTAGGAAAAAGATTTTTAATTAAAAAGATTAATAAAACTTTTTTTTTCATTTTAAGCTTGCTTTTCGTCATGCACAAAATCAAGCTAAAGAAATACGAAATAAAGTTAAACAAATCCTGCAATTATCAAATGATAAAAGTTCAATAACATTAGAAGAAACAATTGAAAAATATTTAAGAAGTACAATACAAAAATATGATATTGGAAAAGTTGCATTCGTAATTATATAAACTAAAGATCAACTTCGTTTTAGTTTTCAATTAATTTTAGGAAGTAGAAAATCAATTATGGGCGACGTTGTATGATTATCCAGCTTTAAGATCTTGCAATGAACTACTTAAATACATTACTTCTGCTTGTCGTACTGCGTATGTATAAAAAAATTGTAGTTAAATAATTCTTATTTATGTTTTTCTAGATGGGGACTTGCGAATCAAACTCCACCTTATTATATTGAATTTCAAACAGCAAAATTTGATAAACAAATTCATGAACGTTTTCATACATCCGATAATGAAAGTGACACTATTATTGAATATATATGGCCATGTTTAATTGATGGTCGTGATCGAGCTTGTGTTGCAAAAGGTGTTGTTATTACTGATGAACATTATTTATCAATATCAAAAACTATTTCATCTTAGCATGAATCTCCCAAATAGCTTTGTTAAAGTTCTAGTCAGTCGATGGATCGACGACATTCCATGCCAACAACAAAAAAACAAGAAAACTAGACTAATCAATATATCCCCCCTTTTTGTTTGTTTGTGTGTGTGTGTGTGTGTGTGCACGTTTCTTTTACAGATAATATTATTTAGACAGAATGAATAATTAAATTTCTTTTTTTTTATTTATCTTTCTACTTTTATTATTCGGAAATAGAATCATTTATATGATCTGATTTTCGTTTTGTCCCTGATATAGATGTTATTTCCATATCATCAGTTGTAGGTATTGCTGCAATTGTTGATAAATAATCGATAGTGAAAATATTATTTTCAACACTAAATCGAGAAAAAAAAGAATCATATGAAATTATCCATAAGATTTATAAACTTACATTTTACCCAAACTATCTTGTTTTAATGTAAGATTTTTTTCTAAATTACATAATGTTGTTAAGATTTTTGTTGAATTTGGTTTAAGATTATTGGTATGATTCATTAAGATGTTATAAATCCATGATAGATAAAAAGCAAAATGTCGTGAATGTTGAATTTGTTCACTAATAAAATTTAGTAATAATTCAACGTATAGAAGTGGAAGTGATTGACATATATGTTCGACTAAAAAATATAAAATAGTATTTTTAAAGATTTCAAAACGAATTTATAAGATAAATCTTCCAAAAATCAAAAAATTTTCCTCCCCGCGCGGGGGCACACAAGGAAGGTTCTGCATCTCTGGATCTTTCAGCACATTTCTATCAAGTATGGTTTAGTTTGCCACTTCACAAGGTTCTATCATTAGTGTTTTCATCGTAGTCAACATGATTAAATGCACCAATGAAAAATCTATAAGTAATTGTTATCGTTCTATGTTTATTTTGGAACTAATATTTAGATTGGAAGACTGATTAATAATTTTGTTTATGAAGAAAAACTATATCTTCGTTTAACCTTTTAGTATGTTGAGAATGCAGACATGTCAAATGTATCAATTATCATTCATAGGGTTTAGAATAAGAACATCCGACTGAGTCTAGAAGACTTACCTTTGCTTAAATCAATATTTTCAATAATCTCTATGATCAATGATTTTTCATTGAGTTTTAGTGCCATAAGTAATGCCATATATGAATCATTTTTATCATAAAGTGTTTGTCGAATACTTAATGGCGTAATTGTTTCATTTAAATCAATAGGATCAAACATTGCTGTATTATCAATCGAATAAATGAGTAAACCTTCAGTTGTACATGCTGACCATGCACGTCCTATTTTTGCGATGAAACAAAATAATAAATAACATATTAATTGTATAGAATTTCTTTACCTGTTGGTGAAAATCGTACACATGTAACTAATATTTCTGGTTTAAAATGTCGACTACTATGATCACCTTTTCGTACACCAGGTAAACGAATATTTTTTCCATTTTCATCTTCATCTTGACCCATATCAATCAATGCCAAACTACCAAATTCTGTCATTTTTCGTCGATTTAAATATTCCTGTAATTAATCAAAGCAAAAAAAAACTATTAATTTTCAATTGAATAAATCTTACATTTAATCCATCAAAACTTTTATTGCAAGTTATTTCAAAACGTTTAACAAGAATTTGTTCATGAATATTATAAAGTGAAATATATTTTGATCGACCACCAGCTAATAAATAATTACCATCGAGTGTATATGAAATACTTCGATAAGCTCTTCCAAATGTTAATTTTTTTCCTGTAACTTTATCTGTATCTTTTCTTGCATAACCTAAATCATGTTTGCCTTCGATTGATGCTGTCTGTTGACCAGTATCAGGATGAAAGAAAAGTATTTGTGCATCAACAGTTGATACAGCTATTTGCTGTCCATCAGGACGAAATGCACAACATAATGCTAAAATAAAATCAAGATCAAAATGTTTTTTTGAAAGAGTATTCATCACAAACCATCTGTTGATAAGAGAAATGTTTCTCTTGAACCATGACTATCAAATAAACTCCATGTTCGTAATGTTTTATCCCATGAACAACTAGCTAATGTTGTTTGTGTAGTATTTCGACCAAATGTTAATGCACTAATTGGACCTTCATGTCCACTGAGAATCTAAAGAAACAAGAAAATATCAATTTTATTAATTCATTTTGATTCTATTGAAATATAATACATCAAGTAATTTTCCAGTTTTAATTGACCAAACAAAGATATTAAATGTATCAAAACCACCAGCACAAACAACTTCACCAGCAGCATCAAGTGCAACACATGAAAATTGAACTGGTGTTGGTGATGTATATGTTCGAAAATTTCGATATCTTAGAAGATCATAAGCACGAACAGTTCCATCAAGTGAACTTGAAATAATAAATTGTCCATTCGATGCAAATTCAAGTCCAGTAATAGTTGATGAATGTTCAGAAAAAGTTACAAAACAAAAACCATTCGATGTATTCCACAATTTGATCTAAATATAAAATCATAATCAACTCCATAAATGAAAAAAACATACTTTTCCATCATCACCACCACTAGCGATATGCATTCCATCAGGTGAATATGCTAATTGTGTCATATTATTGAAATGTCCTTGTTGTTTAAGAACATATGTTTGACTTTGCCATTCCCATACAATAAGTTGACCAAGATTTTGACAAGCTAAAGCAATCCAATCTCCTAATGGATTGAATAATGCTGATGTTATCATTTGTTTTTGATCACCAATACTAAGATAGAGATATATATTTACGATTTCGTAAAAACAATCTGCTTACCTTAATGAATGAATTAGATTAAAATCCGGCATTTCATGAAGATAGAAATGTCCATTGGAAAATCCGGCTACTAACATATGTGTTTTTTTATGATAATCAGCACAGAGAAGTAAAGCACCACGATCAGAACCTTCAAATGTTTCTTTATAATTAAATCTAGAAAAAAATACATAATTAAAGAAATAATCATTCGTTTTTATTAATTTATTTACTTATTCATTCGTTTGAAAACCACCATATCATCTTTAGTTGGATTTTTTTGAAGACGTTCATCTAAACGTTTTTGTTTTCGTTCAAGTTTAGCTCGTTGTTGTTCAACAATATCATCTAACTGTTCATCTTCACCATCATCATTATGACCATTAGCTGATGTTGGCATTTCTTCTTCATCATCATCATCGTCATCATTTTCATCTTCATCATATATATATGGCATAGGTTTCATTGATGATAAATCCATATCAACTACCCAATAATTTACTTTTGCATTCTTACAAATCGTGATTATCTATATTTAAAAATATATAATTGTAGAAAATAAATTAAATTCTTTAATATACATTAAGTGAATCTTGTTCAAAAAAAGCTCCGATTATTTCACGACCATGACCAGCTAATGTAAATCGATGTAATTTATCAAGTAAAGGTACACTAAATACTTGTGTTGTCATATCTGCACTACCAACAGCAACAACACTATAAAATAAAAGATGATTTTTTTGATTTTTAGAAGAGATTTATACAAACCGAGAATCACTTGTCCAATCAATACATGTTGTTTTATCATGAAATGAACGAAGAACAAATTTTAATGTAAATAAATTAAATTGACGATTAGCATTAGGACATGTATATATTTCACATCGATTACCACGACAAACAGCTACTGATCTTTAATACGAAAATATTCAATTATTTAAGTTATTAAACGGAATAATTTACTTTGCATCAGGACTAAATTTCACTGTGTTTACATCATGTCCAAAACGATGAATACCAATTAATGTACGACATTTGACATTGTACAAATAACCTCGACCGGCTATTGAAAAAGAAAGCGATAAAATATTTTTCGGATTGAAAATAAACTAATTCTTACTTTCATTAATCACAAGTAGAAGTGCACCATTGGAAGAGAGTGTAGAACAAATAATATTAAATTCACTTTCAAATGATAATGTTTCTGATCGACCACTTAAAAAAAGAATATTAAATATTTGTTTTAATGTATAATGAATTATATACATTACTTTTTTAAATCGATTACAGTTGCTCGATTACCAACTGGTGTGATGAGTGCATTACTATCAGGTGTAAAGAGTAGATTACCCTTATGATATACAGTTCCAAGAAGATTTGAGAACTTAAATATAAATTATTAAATATATCATAGGATCGATTGAACAAAAAAAAAGAATATTTTTACTTTATAATGAAGTTTCATTTCGATTCAAGATTAATGCATGAATAATTATCTAAATTAATGAGAAAATTAAAAACATAATTCCTAAATTATTTCTCGTATGAAATAAAAATATTTCTCATTTGAAGAACAAATGATCCAGTTAAAAACCATGTTTTCATATATATCTAGCCTCTTTCTCTTTCCGATAGACGTCGCTCATCACTATTACATATTTTTCATTTGCGAAGTTTAAACTTTTTTTTGATATAATTTTCAATTGTTTCATGAGTAGTAGAAAAGAACTGGTAAGATTTGAGAACTTCATAAAATCTATCAGTAAGGATAGGTATGAGTTATATTTTGCGTCTTCATCATATATATTCCATGGAAATCTCGACTTGTTATTTTCTTCTCTTCCATAAAGATGACAAAATCGAACGAAAACGAAAAGTAGAACAAATTTTGAATAATATTGTGTCAAAAGGAATACACATAAGATTCTTTTTTTTTGTTTTTGGGCGAAAATACGTTATTCATTGTCGATTATAAGATGACTTAATAAACATGGAAAAAGTCTTTTTGATATACTTACGGCATACCAAAAGTCTTTACGGAACTATATAGTTTTCTAATAGAATGTCCCAAGCAATTTTATTTTTACATATACTGATAGTAAAGAAAAAGCTCTACATTTCTACACTACTTGATCATTGTTCATCTAACATCATAATAATCAAATTTCGACGGAAACTAGTTTTGTATAAACTTAACTAACGGGTGAATCATATTAACGAATGCGTTTTGTATTTCAATTGCAATCATTAACACATTATAATAAAAAACGAAATAAAATACAAGATGCAGCGTGACAAGTTTTACAAGTTATAACGAACAGTTTATCTCATATATCCGGTAAGAAAAAGAAATTTTACTTTCTTTGGAAACATAGAGGACACAATTAAGATAATCTTCATTTCGTAGACTGTAGAACTTTTCAAGCTGCATCTTGTGATGTATTTTGTTTTTTTTAAAGAAGATATTAGCTGATAAAAGGATGAAATAAGCAAGAATAAATTCACCCTCTACGAAAAACGCATTATTATCCCAAATCGAAATTGGCGACTCAACACTTGGTCATTTTGAAAAGAAAATGAACAACTAAAAAAAAATAGTCTATTTTATGTAAACTGTAAAGCTTTTCAGGCTGCATGTTGTGTTATATTTTGTTTCTTAATAAAGCTTCTGAAGCGATTGAAACTTTTCATCTGCCTTACCCGCTAGTTAATGTTATACAAAAATAATTTCTGTTGAAATTTGATTATTATGATGTTAAATGAATAATGATCAAATAGTGTAGAAATGTAGAGCTTTTTCTTTAATATCAGTACATGTAAAAATAAAATTGCTTGGGACATTCTATAAGATAACTACATAGCTCCGAAAAGACTTTTGGTATGTCCTAAGTAGTTTATGCATACACTATTGCAAGACTTTTACCTTATCGATTCAACTTCTTTTTTGTCAATTAAAATCAGTATTCGTCAAATGGAAATTGATGATGCAAAAGTTTTGCATGAATTCTGTAGGATTTGAAGGCGTAGGTAATAACTCTTTTATGATGCTTTGACCAAATGAAATCTTTTGGGTATCGTTTTCATTCACTTTTGGTGATCGCTATTACTATATAGACACTGTTTATTACAAGATCATTCATATTGTGTTGAAATAGTTATAGTGATATATAAGAGAGTAAACAGTACACAATTTGATGAAAAAAATCGTTTTATAAATTAGTTGCTCTAATGGTAAAACTAACTTATATTGGAATCTCACACAGGAAAGGTTTGGTCTTGTTCAAATAACAACATTGTATGCTAGACAATGCAATAAGCTTTTGATCACTTCTCTTTTGTAAGCAAGCTTATTTTTTAACTGCTATTCACAATGCGATAAGACCGGTAATGCACGATAATACGTTTATATTTGGTCATTTTTACTATTATGAATGCACGGTAATTTTATTTCTGTACAAAAATAGTATTCTGTGTTTAAATTATAAAATTCAAATTAGTAAATTCGATAGATATTGTACCAGATCGTCATTTGTGAGAAATTTTTTTAATACCATTAGGTCTAACAATTTTGTAATTTTTAAAAACTATCTACAATACAATTATTGTAAGTATGTTCATACGAAATAATTTTCTTTTTCCAACAAAAAACAACAAAGCTTCTACAATATTCTTAAATCAATAACTGTTTCTCGTTTATTGATATAGTCATTTTGTTCTAACAAATTCCTTGTAGCCATTTAATAACAAAACGATGTATGACAAAGAGAAGCAACATTCACTGAATGAGTCATAGTTCCTTTTCTTATTCCATTTCGACGATAAAGTATCGATGTCATATTCAATTACTAAAATAATTGCATAGATAAGGTCATAAAAGGTTGGAAAGAATAACTATAAAACGAAATCATTTTGTTCTTTTGCGAACGTTGTTAAGAAATTTATTCGTACTGATGTCTCTTGCTCTTCACAACAGTATTTTAAAAAAGTAAGTAATTGAAGTTTCTTATTGAGTCTTAAGAAAAATATACACACATATTGCATGGTACAAAAGACTGGAAAAATACGTCATTGCTATTATAAATAGAAGGGGTGAGTCTTTATGTGAGATTCTCGTTAGGGGGTGTAGACTGACTTCAGTCTCCAATATAACCATAGGCTCAATATTAAACTAGGTAGTTGGGATCAAGAGGCTGTCGAGAGAAAATTCATTATGAAAAGTGCGTACTGTGCCTTGTATAAAATAAAAAAATAATGATGATAATATCCGTTTTTAATTGAAGGCAACAAAATCAGATCAATATCAAGAACTAGACAAAAAAGAGAAAAACAACTCCATATATATAAGAAAAGAGGGAAAAAGAAAAGACTATCGCAAAACAAGAAACGAAACTACGCAATAACAAAAAAAGAAATATAAAGATACAATGGAATAGGGGAAGGTCATCATAATTTCATGATAATCAAGCAGACATATGTATTCAAGAGGAAAGAAAGATGTGTAGAAAAGAAAAAGAAAAGATAGTGTTAGATCTATTCTTTTTTGATTAAAATAATGTTTTGAAAGTAATAAGTCTAATTAATAACTTTAATCACACACGCACTTAACGTAAAGCATGATCTTTATATATATATATGAAAGACTGGCTGGATATTTCCCCAACTTATACCATAGGAAAATACCTGAGTTATATGTAAGAAATCTTACACTAGGAGAAGACCAAAAGAACATATCGACATTAGACGACAGCACGAAAGAAAAGAAAATATATGGGATAATTCCTTATGAAATGTTGTAAGGAATATTCCATAATAGATAGATTAGCGTCATGTATATAACAACACATAATGCTAACATTTCTTACCATTTAGACAACAACAATTATTGCTAAGCATATATTCAACATCAAATTATTACAACGACCAAACGAGTGGATTCGAATCCAATTCAAGAGCTTCTTTATCATCAAACACGCTCATGAATAATAACAACACAACCACAGCATCATCGGATGCTATTCAACAAAGGCGACGAATGGTTCCAAATTATTCGCTTCTCTATTTAGATGAATGTACGGGTGAAGCGAACCAAGAATATCAAGATATTTTAACGCAATTAAAAACAATTACTGGCAATGTTAATATCTTTAAGCAGCGAGACGAATGCATTGACTTTCTTACAGATACTCAAGAAAACATAAAATCTTTTCTCGTTCTTGAGAGCACTATCGCTCAACAAATGATACCCCTTATCCATGATATTCCTGAGCTGAATGCTGTTTATATTTTCAATAGCATTAAATCCTTACATGAAGAATGGACCAGTAATTGGCAAAAAATCAAAAGCGTTCGTACCAACATCAAAGACCTGTGCCAAGCATTACAACCGAATGTCAAGCGACGCAATCAAGATTCGATTGCTTTGAGTTTTGTCACTGCAAATGAAATAGCTTCGACTGATAATTTAAATCAATTGGAACCAGCATTTATGTATACTCAGATATTCAAGGAAATCATTCTCGATATGGACCATAGTAAACGGGCCATTAAACAGTTTATTGCTTATTGTCGGCATAATGACTGCGTGTCGCTAACCAATATTGACCGTTTTGAGAAAGAATACAACGCTCAATCAGCTATTTGGTGGTATACTTTCCCATGCAATATCTATGATATGATTAACTATGCTCTTCGAATACTAGATGCCGATATAATCATTAATATGGGCTTCTTTCTACGTGATGTGCATAAGCAGATTCAACAGCTGTACGAGCAACAGGTCAGCATTTATGGTAGAGAAACTTTTATGGTTTATCGAGGACAAGGTCTTATGCAATCAGACTTTGAAAAGCTTCAGAAAACAAAAGGTGGATTAATGTCATTTAGCAATTTCGTATCTACCAGTACAAATAAAGAAGTGTCCCTTGGTTTTGCTCAACCTGCTTCAATAGAACCAAATAAGGTCGGTATTCTTTTTATAATGTCCATTGATCCTTCTATTAAATCAGCACCATTTGCCTCCATCAAAGAGATGAGTTATTATAAGGACGAAGATGAAGTTCTCTTCTCGATGAACACTGTCTTTCGAGTAGGTGCAATTAAACAAATAGATAATATCAATCAACTTTATCAAGTTGAACTACAATTAACATCGGATGATGACCAACAACTACGATTACTTACTGATCGGATGCGAGAAGAAGCTGATGGTAATACTGGATGGGAAAGATTGGGTAAATTATTGATTACAGTTGGTCAATTTAATAAAGCTGAAGAGATTTATAATGTATTACTCAAACAGACATCTGATGAGGGTGAAAAAGCGTTTTATTATAATCAGCTTGGAGGTGTCCATTTGAATCAACGTGATTATGAAAAGGCTATTTGGTATAACGAAAAAGGACTTGAAATTTGTAAAAAAACTCTCCCTTCAAATCATCCTTCTTTGGCTACTTCATACAACAACATCGGTTTGGCGTATCACTGCATGGGAGAGTACCCGAAAGCACTTTCATCTCACGCAAAAGCACATGAAATGTATAAAAAAACTCTTCCTTCAAATCATCCTTCTTTGGCGCAGTCATACAACAACATCGCTGCTGTTTATGATAGCATGAAGGAGTACTCGAATGCACTTTCATTACACGAAAAAGCAGTTGAAATTCGACAAAAAAGTCTTCCTTCAAATCATCCTGATTTGGCTGCTTCATACAACAACATCGGTGGTGTGTATGACAACATGGGAGAGTACACGAAAGCACTTTCATTTTACGAAAAAGACCTTGGAATTAAAGAAAAAACTCTTCCTTCAAATCATCCTCATTTGGCTACTTCATACAACAACATCGGTTTTGTGTATAACAATATGAAAAACTATTCGAAAGCACTTTCATATTATGAACGTGCTCTGAAAATATGGCAACGTGCATTACCTCCGAGTCATCCTCGTATTAAAAATATGAAAGAGTACATCGAAATTGTCAAAAAAAATTATAAAGAATAGTTGATAAATAACTAAAAGAATGTTTTGTTCACCTATGTTTGAATTAATTCTATTTTTCAATATGTCAGCGCGCGTACAGAGAAGAACTCTGTAAATAATAAAAACATAATGAACAAAGGCGACTGATAAGGTAATACACATACATAGGTATGGGTATAAATGATGCTCTCGGACATATTTACAATTCTAGTTCTTTACGAGAATGTTCACTGTAATAAAAGAGAAACAACTTATATGGAATTGAATTGTGATGGTGTTTAACGAGGCCACGTATGATGAAGAAAAAGTTAAAAAACTGTAAAATATATACTGATATGTCATAAATACAGATATATTTGAATCAATTAATTAGTATTCATCATTAATTAGAATTAAATGAAAAGAATAAGGATGGGTTTGGGTGTAGACTCTGATAAAGAACCACACCTACCCTTGTAAATGTTGTACAGTTTTGCAGGATACATATATGCACTAAGTTTTGAGGCTTTAGGGTTTATCATTTGGGAGAAATTGAAATTGAAAGTTGACAAAATATGAGTGCATTACCTGCGGACAAGCCGATAATATATCAACAATTCAGCTTGATTTCGTTTGATTTTAAAAAATGGCAGGAGATGTACTATCAATAAATGATGATAGTTTCTATTTATGTTTACTTGAATAAATCAAGCAAATAGCATGTTTGGTTAGACATTTGATGCTGTATTTTTCGGTATATTAGACATAAAATATCAGACGTCGTCATCCTCAGTGATCTCATACACTCTCTGCTGGACATTTAAGAAGAATTAATATTCATTATCCAGTCAAAACGGCTACGCAAGACTATGAGAGATTTTGCTATATATTTTCAGAAGCAATAATTTCTACACCTAATGGTCATGGTTCTAACTAATTAAGATATTATATGAAAAGCAAATTAATGCATCGTATATATTACTAAACTTATATATACATTTACGAACGAGAAAAGTATATATTACTTCTTAGATATCAGAAAAAAACATGTGTTTTATTTTTTTTTGTTGTCTCATGTATATGACATCAGAATGAAGATTATATATTTGAATCCATGATTTTTAATAAATTGTATCGAACTTCAATGAATTTGCTAATTTTTTTCAAAAATAGGTTATTATTAGATAGAATCTTTATATTCACTAAAATACATATCATACTTCATTCAGTAGAACAAAATTACTTGTTTGAATCTGTTGCTATTATATGCATCATCTATTTTCTCATTTCAATATGCATAACATCATCTCATTTTTACTTCGAAGACAAGCGACAAAGAAAATATATCATGTCTACATATATATACTGATTGTTATTCTGGTTAGTCACCGACACGTAATTTATCTCAATTATATGTACGTATCTGGTATATACGTTCTTTCTCTCTCTTTATATATGTATGAATGAAGAACGAAACAATCTAGTCCATTGCTGCTGTTGAAAAAGGCAACAATTAAACTATTTGTAAGACAAGAACATGAGTAATGAACTAATTCGTTGATGATATGTTTCTTATACTTTCATCAATTTATAATGCAATACAAATTTTTTTACCATTTATCTCACACATGAGAATGAGTGTAGGCAAGAAATTGAAGAACTTTTGTTTTGGCACATATTAAATACAATTATCTGTTTTTTTTATAATGAATGAGATATAATTTATTAATTTTGTTTTAATATATACAGCAAAACAAAAAGAATGTTAATGAGATGAAGATGATTCTGATAGTTTAAGTTGTTGACGATGTGCAGTTCGTGCTCGTGTTCGTCGATTTTTAAACCAAACCTGTATATATCGAAAAGTTTAATTCTTTAATTTCTTTACAAACAATATCATACCTGAATACGTGATTCTGGAACACCCATTTGAGCGGCAAGTGCTTCACGTAATTCAATATCAGGATATTGATTATGCATAAAAACACTATCAAGTTGTTGAACATTAGTTTGTGTAAATACCGTTCGTTGTCGACGTCGGCGACCTTGTGGTGGAACTATAAAAAAAAGAAAAAAAATGAAATTATTTTCGATTCTATTTATAAATAATACAAGATTAAAATTTCGAATATATTTCGTATTATACCCCAATTGATTTTATATTCATACGGAGGACAAATATTGCTACTGGCTGGATCTTTTGATGGAGTAGATGATGAATTTGTACAAATAGGTATTGGTGATGAACATAAATCCATTGTTGAAGAAACTGATGATTGTTCTAAAGATGGTAATGTCATTGATGAATCTATATCTAGAAAATTATATTTAATTAATTATCTAAAAAAGAAGACCTAATTCTACTTACTATTGTATATATTATTATTGCCTATTAATTGATCGTACATATGAAATGAATTATTTGAATAAGGAACATGTGGATGATATGTATGTTGATAAGAATAATAAGTAGATGATGATGATTGTTGTGGACTTAAAAATTCACGATTAAGTATTGGAGAACCATAACCTGAATCATCACGATGAAGTTGAACAAACGAAGATGAATTATCATCCATTGCTATTTTGAAATGATTATGTTCACCGGATAGTTATTTCAAATCAAACTAATGAAAGATGAATTTATTTTCTCTATTTAATATTCTTCGATTCAAACCAATCAATGAGAAAAAAATATACATATGTATTATTCTTTTATTCTTCTAACCAATCGAAAAACGAGAGAGTGAGAGAGAAAGAGAAAAAAATAAAAGTGAGAATAGAACTTGTCGGTATGAATGATGACGTTTTGTGGAACAAGTTGAAAGAATATACCATTTGTTTTGCTTTTCGCAGATGTTACCTTTATCGATATCTTTTTCTCTCTGAACAAAGCAGCCTTGAAGGTATGTGACATCGTATCCGTTGGCTGTTATTACCACTTTTTGTTAACACATTGGAAAAGAAAATGTGTTATAGAGTTATGCTGGTGATTAGTGAGCATTATTATTCATGTTGTGATAAGTTTGACACGAAAATACAATTGATATTATTGTTCTATAGATAGATTTAATGATGCACAAAATTAACATTTATTTAATAAACAACAAATTTGAGTTTATTTCACATAAGTTTGTTGCGCTAGATGAACTAATTAAATGTCAAAGTCATCGAAATTATCTCAATTTAATATGCCGGCATTTTTATTTCTTAGTTCCTTTTAAACCGTATCAAAATTCATTATGATTGAAGAACAAACGTAACAACCCTATCGAGCATCACTACCAATGATAGATGGAATAGAACAAATCGTTTTAATTTTAATATCATCTGATTCATGTCCATTAAATGGATAATATACTGATATTCATAGTTTTCTCATAGTCACATCTTTGAAATTGTTCGATAAAAACAAAAGAATCTATCATTCAGTTCAAACATCAGTTGTACAATTGAAATTACCTAATATAAATTTACATGGAACAATAAATTACTATTATATTCAAAATTTGTAATTTCTTGTTTTGTTTAATGTTGATGAATATTATGATGTTAATTCCATATCAATTTTGATTCGAAGAGATGTTTCTTTCGTAATAGTAATATTGACAATTTTTCGTTGGTAAATAAATAAACTGTGAATAGCAGTTAGATTTATTATCTAGAACTTTATAACTTCAATAATCACTAAAAATTATTATTAAAGAAACTATCTATTAAAGCGAATATCAAATTTTTAAATGCATAATAGACTTGCTGATTTCGAACATTGTAATCGGTTTGCATGAAATTATTTTTGATAATTTCAGAGAAATAAATATCTTGAAAATTTCACGGAAATTATTATCACTATAAATATGACATGTAATTATTTTAAGTGTATAAAAGATAATTGTTGAAAATGTTGAGTGAATCTCTTATCTCGAGTATACTTTCTAGAGAATGTTGACATGTGATGAAATAGAGTTTACTGATATTGCAACGTTATTTATGGTCTAAGCATTTGTGTTTTATAGAAATGAAAAGAAAAAAAATGTGACATATATAATAAAATGTTTCTATTCCTATACGTATATTTGTAGTATTTCATAATTTTAAAGTTGCTTCTACGTATGCTGAATAATATCTTCATCTTGTTTTTTTACTTGTATTTTCAGATTATACGTATATACATAGATATGGCAACAGTAAATTTATCGGAAGAAGTCACTACTGAAATAGAAGAAGCGATTAATAAAGCTGCTGAATTAGTACTTAATTGTGAAGCTATTTTATTTACGAGTGGTGCTGGAATGGGTGTAAGTAGTGGACTTGGTACATTTCGAGGCATTGCAGCTGGTGTTTGGCCACCTTTATTGAAACATCCAGAATTAAATTTTACTCATATGAGTAATCCACAATGGTTTAGAAAGACAGAAGGTATCAGTGATCGACATAATACAGCTAATTTTGGTTATGCTTTTTGGACTTATCGATATAATGCTTATACATCTGCTGACCCACATCTTGGTTATAAAATTGCTAAACGATGGAGTCAATTAAATCATATAAAATATTTATTCAGTTTTACAAGTAATATTGATGGACATTGGTTAAAATCAGGCTGGAATCCGTCGTCAATTCTTGAATGTCATGGTTCAGTTCACTATATGCAATGCATTAATAGTTGTCGTAAACGTTTATGGAATACGAATGATGCATTAAAACTTAAAGTAGATAGCAAGACAGATTGTGTTAGTAGTCGTTTACCTCATTGTCCATATTGTAAGAAATTAGCAAGACCAAATGTATTAATGTTTGAT